GTTGCATTTTACCACTTTGCCATCACCTGGCCCCTAAATCCTTTCTTTTTTTTTTTTTTTTATCTCACTACAAATTGTTTGGTAACCAGTAGGTCTCCTATAACTGCAGAAGACAACCTCTGTATTCTCCTCAGAGCAGGGTTTCTTTATTTTTTTTTTTTTTTGGAGAGGTTTTCACCATAGGGCGCGTGCACTACCCAGACAGACAGAGAGAGACATAGAGACAGAAAGCGAGAAATCACCCCCCAGGGGAGATTTCTGAAGAGGGGCTGTCCTCTGCACCGTAACATTATTAACTATACCCTGGGTCTACCCACTACATGCCAGAAGCCCAATTCTGCCTTCAGAGTGGCAACCAAAACTGTTTTAGACATTGCCAAAAATGCCCAGGCGGGCAGTCAGCCCCAGCTGAAAACCACTGCTGGCTTGGACTTGTCAAATACTGCAGATGAGAAGTATCAAAGAGGCTGGTCCTGAGCCCTAGTGATGAAGGGAGCCAGATCCCACACTACTGACTGAGCAGTTCAAATCCCAAGGTTCAGTAACTTCAAAAACATGCTAGGTGGGGGCCAGCAGGTACATGATAGTTAAGGTGCCGGATTCTCACATGGCCAACCGCAGTTCAAGTCCTGGACCTGGCGGCTTGAAACTCACACTAGGCAACGTAAGCACACATGCCCAAAATTCCAAGAGGAGAATGGAAGAGAAGAGACTGCAGTGTGACCATGCCCCCTGGAGGGGGGGGGATTTCTCACTTTTCCCTCTCACTGTCTGTCTGTCTCTCTGGCTAGCACACATGCTCTATGACCACAAACAAAGCCAGATGAATATGCCCCAAATCTCAAAAGGATGGCGAATGGAGAAGGGATTGCAATGTGACCATACCACACTGTGGAGGGAAAGGGGGGTGCTTTCTCTCTCTTCTTATTCTCACCTCTGTCTCTCTGGCAAGTACACATGCCCTCTGGCAAATTCAAAAAGAATAAGTGTCAATATAATTTTCATTTGTTTCCAAAGAATAGTAGTAAGATCTGGTATGTAATTTTTTTTCTTTTTTTTTTTTTGCGAGATTTTGCTGTAGGACGCATGTGCTCACCAGAGGCAGAAAGTGAGAAATCACCCCCGGGGGGATGGCCACGCTGCAATCCCTTCTCCTCTGTTCTCCTCTCAGGATCTTGGCCACGCACGCACACGCACCCAGCTAGAGTTTTAAGCCACCGGGTCCAGTATGCAAACTGCGGTCGACTACATGGGAGTCCAGCAACACGGCCATTATGCTAACTGCTGGTCCCTCATATATTTTATCTCTTCAAAAAAGATTATTATAGGGAACCAGCAGTTAGTGTAATGGCTATGTCGCTGGACTCCCACGTAGTCGACCGCGGTTCGTGTCCCAGACCCGGTGGCTTAAAACTCACGCCGGGCGCGTGTGCGTGCGTGCCCAAGATCCCAAGAGGAGAATGGAGGAGAAGGGATTGCGGCGTGACCATCCACCCTGGGGGGTGATTTCTCGCTTTCTGTCTCTATGTCTCTCTCTGTCTGTCTGGCGAGCGCACGCGCCCTACAGTGAAAATCTCTCAAAAAAAAAAAAAAAAGATTATTATAGACTAGTATTATAATTTATTGAAATCTGAGTAGTAGTTTCATTGAAATAATTTACTACCTGGTATGATTTAAACTTTCCCAAATGTCAAACATTTTTTGTATGGGAGTTTAAATTAAGATGAAGGCCCCAGCAGGTAAATAAATGGCTTCATCACAGCACATCATCAGGCCTAGAACCCAGTGCTTTCTCAGATTTCAGGTGGCAAGCTCAGAGCTTTTTCAAATTTCAAGCAATGTTTACACACTGTAAGAAAGAACTGGTACTACTGATGGTATCCCAAAGACACACAGCCTCTGATCTCCGCAGAAGGCACTAGACGTGTAAGCCCTTACACGCCTCCTTTATTTCCCTTTCTCCTGAATTACACTCAGTGTGGTGGTGAGTGGTGGGGACGGAGGTGTAAACCTAGCCTGCATTACTGGGCAAACCATACTGAACCAATCCAATGATCAGCACCCTTTTAAAAACAGAGTCCCCTACAATTCTGGGCAGCACTCAACAGTTCTATAACACTGTCCCATATAAATACACGGTGCACAAACGTAATTTAAAATTTGTAAATGCAACTAAAAAAGGTAAAAAGAAACAGGAGATGAATTTTCATATTTAACCCAATATACTCAAAATTCACACCAAAAATTTGTGAGATATTACATTATCTTTTTCTCCCAGCAGAGTCATATTCAAACCCCAGTGTGTATTTTAAACTTATAGCACGTCTCTATTCGCAGTAATTACATTTCAAATATTCAAAAGCTATGGAGGTTATTGGCTACCCTATTAGCACAGGAATACTGAATTAGAAACAACTTCACTCATTTCAGTAGTTTTCTGTTTTTCTCTCCAAAGCTGGTAAGAATTCCCAAGTCTTTGGTAGAGTGAGAAAGCATCACCAAGATCCCCAAAGTTTAACACGTACGTCGTAGAAACGATTAAGCTTTTGGAATAGCGTGTAGGCTTACCACTTATTGTCTACGTCTACACGCTTCATCTCCAGGATAAAGACCTTGGCATAAATTCCTGGGCATGCAACCAAGAGGCACCTAATTAATGCTGATGCTGGTCTCAGCTTGCATTTCGCTCTAACGCCCCAAAACAAAAATGAAAGTCCTCTTCCTATTGAACGGAAAGTAAACATTAAGGAAGAAATGACTTTCTGGGGTGCTGAAAGCATTAAGAGTCAAAATCCCTAGGGGCAAGGCTTTCTTACCGGTCTCTAGCTATGCCTCCCCAGTCCCTGCAACCCCAAGAGAAAGAAGCCGGTTCCTGCTTGCTGTAAAACGCTAGCGAACATGAACGCAATTTCCTTTTGCTTTTTCCTGGGTGCCACTTTATTTGAACGTGCAGGACCACGCAGCCATGCTCACTCCACGCTCAAACGAAGCAGAATGGGTGTCTTCTGTGGTGTTTTGTTTTGCTGGGGGGCGGGGGGCTGGATTTTGTTTCTTCCATTCTGAGCGCTCTCAGAGCTCTCCCCAGGTGGGCAGGGCAAAGGCTTCGGCTTCAGAGACCAGGACGGTGCAGGCGCGACCCCGCCGCCTCTTCCCTCCCCGACCCCCGGTCGCAGCCCCGG